TTCTGCTTTGCCATTTCAAGGCCAAACTGTTGTGTCTCATATTGTTTTCTGGCAGACCCAAAACTTGTAAAATTTTAGTCGAATAATGCATAAAAACTAACAGGTATGTTACGGCAATAGTTTTGGGTGGGTTTCCACGGCTTTTGGAAGGCTCTTGGCCTTTTATGGACGATGGACGAGTCTCAGCATTTTACGGGACTTGCAGAATATCGTACTAATATGCTTTACAGGAATGTGATTAAAAAAACAAACGAACTGTCACCTTTAAGATAGATAAATAAAATATTTTGTCACTGTACTGAAGAAAATCACCTTTGTGATTGAAACGTTTTCGATAAAGAAGATTCTGTCAATAAATGTGGTTTTATTGGCCAAACAGGCATGCACTATTATCAAAATCTGTTATCTAGCTTTCAATTTCTAAGACAATAAGAAATATCATGTTGCGTGTGGTCACAAAAGGTTTGATATCTATAATGCGTGACACAAACATTGCAAACAATTCGCTTATGCAAAATTGATTTTTTAGTAAATATACTAAGTGACATATAAATCCGAACACCCAGTTTAGATGGTTTTATTTTAATAAAAGTTGGTGAATGTATTTATCGTACTGTAAATAACAAGTGAAAAAATTTTCAGCCTTATCAGTTGGACATTCCGGTTTTTATACTGCTTTTTCTTAATTCACTAACGCTCTAAAAATGAATATTTCAGCCGCAGTAAAGAATCAACGTTGGCGGATTTTGGTTCTTGACATCCTTTACGATCGGTTACGATGCCTAGAGTACGGAGACCTGTACGATTTCGTCAACTTAGTAAGTTTGATAGGGGCCGTATAGTGGGACTTCGGGAAGCTGGACTTTCTTTTCGGGCAATTGCAGTTAGAGTGCAAAGAAGTGTAGACACTGCGGTTAGGTGTTGTAAGGCATGGCTTCGAGAAGGCCGTACGCAAAGAGCAAGGGGCACTGGACGCCGCCGTAGAACAACAGACCGTGAAGATCGCCGCCTAAGATTATTGGCCTTAAGGGACCGTTTCTCCACTACCAGGTCCATTGCAAATGAATGGTTTGCAGAACACGGAAGACCTATTGGCATGCGAAATATTTACCGACGAATGAGAAGTTTTGGCTTGTTTTCATACCGGCCACACTGGGTCCTACCTTTAACTCGAGAACACCGACGGTGGTGCAGACAACGGTCACTCTGGGATCAGGAATGGAACAGTATTGTCTTTAGTGACGAGCCTCGATTTTGTTTAGACATGCACGATGGTCGTGCCAGGGTTAGAAGGCGACGTGGTGAAAGGAGGAATCCACAGTTTTTTGTTGAAAGACATGTTCATCACACTGTTGGAGTTATGGTTTGGGGTGCTATAGCTTATGGTTCCAGGTCACCTTTAATCTTCATCAGAGGTAACATGAACGCGCAGCGTTATATTCACGAAGTTCTAGAACCCATCTTTTACCCTATCTTGACACCCTGGCAGATCCAACTTTCCAACAAGATAATCCCCGACCACATGTTGCAAGAGTCACAATAGACTTCTTTCAACATAATGATGTCACATTGTTACCATGGCCACCAAGATCTCCCGACTTATCCCCAATTGAGCACGTGTGGGATATGATGGGTAGGAGATTGCTTAACTTGCAACGTCCTCCTCAGACTCTAGAAGCACTTCGAGAGGAGTTGGTGGTTGCCTGGAATGAGATACCACAGGAGGACATTGACCACCTGATCAGAAGCATGCCTAGGCGCGTTGGAGAATGCGTAGCACATCAGGGTGCATCCACACATTATTAAAGGTCAAAGGGCTTTAAAGCAGTGCAATCATTTTTAAATTTTTATCATTTACTTATTATGCTTCATTAAGTACTTATACAAAATTTTATTAAAATAAAACCATTTAAACTGGGTGTTCGGATTTATATGTCACTTAGTATACTTATTGAAACATTCTTAAAAAGTAGATCTTTTATGAGGTACTGCAAAATTCTTTCTTTCAAAGCTTGTTCAGAAATATCAAACGAAACGAAAAATGATTGTTGGTGTGAAATAAGAAAATGAAAATATCTTCGGTGCTTTGTGGTGTGGGCGTGGCTGAATTTATTGGGGTTTAGACAGTTTCTGTACGAGATATGAATCGCGCGCACGCTATCACCATATCCTACTTATAGTTCGTTCGGAAAATAAAAAGATGTACCTATTTAGGAAGTATTTTTTAAGGGTGGATTTCAACAACATTAAAATTTAACGGGATCTTCGATTAGTTGAAGTGCAATTTGACGGACGCTATCAAAGCTCTCCGAATATCTGTAATTTCTATTGAAATATAGAATGAAAAATAAAGGTACATTCTGGATGTAATACCGTGTCTTTGAGCTTTCAAATTAGGGTAACTATCATTCAATTTCCAATTGCAATCATTCAACAAAAGACTCTTATTTGAATGGACCAATCAAAATACGAGAAACAATATCTAGATTTTCTAGATATTATATTTAATAGGATGTTTTAATTGTTTTGGATGACAGCGACAATGCAGGGCAATATAATTTTGTTTCTTCATCATATACAGAGTGTTGGACATAATGCATACCTGTGTAGATGTGGCGATGTGTTTAGGAAAAAAAAGAATATAAAATGTACTCCAACAGGTGTTACATCAAAAGCTATTTATTTCCAATTTATAAACTACTAATGCTCACGAATGTAAACAAAAAGCATCCTTGGGTCCTAAAACATCGATATTTGTACATATGTATCCGCATTCACCTTTTACCGTCAGATATTATAAGTCAATATCAAAAATATCTATTTACGAAAATATTTGCAAAATTTGTTGTTATACCTTATCTAGTTGATCTTGAACCCGTATGAAATCTGGGTTACTTTTGGATTGTTCTACACTGTTGCCGAACCGAAAAAAGACTAATAATAACGTTAATTTGCAGTACATATCTTACCGGCAATCTATATAATCCGGTATTCTATACAATACCTAGGTAATGTATAGAATACCTAAAACGATGGGCTAATGTATGCAATATTATTTGTTTTATACTCTACCTAGGTATTCTATACAATACCGAATGCGCAGCCGGTAATGTATGTAAAAGACGAGAACAAGGAAGATTTTGTGCACTTCAAAATGTCACAACAGTTCCTCATGTGAAAATAAATAATTCTTTCATTTACTTAATTAAAATTTTGACTAGGCAGTAAACCTGGTTATTATTTTCAGAGGATGTTTTGTTTCTTGAGTACATGTAAGAATATTTTTTTTATTCTATTAAAATTTTGACTAAGCAGTAGACCTACACTGAAAATTATTATGTTACTTATAGCCAGCATATTCTTTAGTTTCACGTTAATTTTACTGTGATTTTACTGTAGTAACAGATAGGTGCTTTTTTTGTAACGCTTATTTTTGAGGAGCACATTAAGTGTTAATTTTGATAAAGTTGATTTCAAATGATATAACTTGTTTCATTTGCCCTTCATTTTATAGGTATGCCGGATAACATTGTTAAATTTAGACCAAGATCTATTTATTTTACACATTGCCGGTGGAGCAGCAGGTACTCTATACAATTCCTAGGAATTGTATTCATTACCTGTGTAAAGCTTGTAATGGATAATAATATTCATAATATTGCATATATTGCCAGGGTAACCCAGGTATTCTATACATTGCCTAGGTATTGCACATAATACCTGAATTATACAGATTACCGGTAAAATATATAGAATATTCAAATTCAAATATTCAAATATTTATTCATCATTATATAAGAAATATCACACACTGCAAAAAAAATATGTAACATCAGAAAAATCATAAAATTCAAAGCCGTGAGCGTGGAATAAAAAAACCCTTTTGGAATACCCATAGAAAAAAATATTTTTTTGTGATTTTCTATAATTCCTAATAACAGAAAAAGAATGTCTGGGTCGAAATACTATTCAAACTTGCGATTTTTCTGTGCGTAAATTATATCTTATATTTCCTATAGATAACGTTTTAACGCTAATTTTCTTCTAATAAACTGAAGTTTTGAAATTTTCTCATGTTTATAGGCGCACTACTGTAATATTTTGGATTTAAAAAGCTTTGACATCTATATTAAATACGTCTGGATACTTTTTTGGCCTGCAGATTTTCTTGAGCCTAGTAATGAGTGTTGCGGCGATTGAAGATAAATATTGATATTGATATTAGTGACCGTACTCTCGTCGGACCACATACTTTTTGAAGCGAAATTAAAATCTTCTTCACAAGTTCGTGGGATGGCACCGTTCGCTATTCCCTAAGTCCTTGGCAAATCCTGAACCTATAGGGTTGATATATATTTTTATAAAAAAATTGAGCTGTGGATCTGGCTACTCCTACATTTTTCTCAATTTGCCAAGTTGATATCTTAGAATCCTCAGCAACTGCTTGTAAAATACTATTTTAAGTTTCGTCTAAAGATTCTTTTTTTCGAGTCGTTACAGGAAATTGACTTACTTGAGCGCCTTCGTTCGGGAGATTTATCATAATAGTATCCTGCAGTATTTTTGTAGCACAAAATGAGCACGTCAGCGTGTCGAACTTTTCTCCATTGTTAAAATGAACGCCTGCTATTATTGACGATAATAAAGCAATATTAACAATACACAATACTAGAAATACTCGGTGACAGATATTTACGTCAAGTCAAGCATATAAAAAAGTTGATGATGTTTTCTCAAAAACGGTCACAGAATCTAAAAACAAAATCATGTGGAGCCAATGGAAAAGTTTCATTAGTCTTTTGATATTCCTTAAAATAAAGTCAGAAAAAATAAAAATAGGCCAAAACATCTCAGTAAGTGACGTAAATACTCCTCAAGGAACAAATATTTTTTATAATGTAACCTAAGGTGTATCTCTCGCAGGTATTGTTTTCCCCATCCATAGAATCCTCATCTTGGAATATGAATAGGAATATTTTGATTTTTTAATACATATTTACCTGCTTGATCAGCAACGGATACAGCCACTAGCATCCATAGCACTGGAATAATCATCTCACTATAGTATCTGCACCTTCAAAATGACTAGAATTACGGAATCAAGAGTCCAAACAAGCATACGCAGTGACAATATTTGCCTCCCTAGTTTTTATAAATTTCAAATAAGATACTGTCGAAGTTGTCTCACGTCTCCCTCGCCGAGATAATCAAACTCCCAGCTTTTATGAGTTTATGACTTCAATTTTTTATTTGCTCGGCGGTCAAGTTAAATTCATATCAACGGAAAATGCAACGAATCTCAGACTGCTCAATAGGCCACGATCCTGTATTGTTTCTGCACGATCTCCAATTGTTTTCTTAATGTCGAATTTTCTATTGCTGTCGCACGATCGTGTATCTCTGAAACACAACCTTTTCTTTTTATGGTTCTCGCACGGTTTTGAGCTTTTATGCGCTTTTCACGATCTGGCAGTTACCGGCGACGCGCTGCGCGGCTGTTTTACGCCCGCGATGTTTTGACGGTCCGGTCGGAGTAGGCGATGCGTTCGACGCACGCTGCGATGCTACTGGTCGCTGTCAACTCTTCTGTTTCTGCCGCGGACCTCGACGGCAACGCGAGCGATGTCTGCAGACCGTTCTTTCTAGTGGGAAGGGGTCGACGTACGGGGATCGAACAACACGATGAGCAGGGACATTTTATGGACATTCCATTTTTGCAACAATTTACTCGGGATTGGTGGCGATTACAGGTTTTTATCGCCGATTCCGAGCAAAGTGTAAAAGTTTTTTATGATTATAATGCAATTCGTTTTGTAAGAAACTACACCAAGCTGAAAAATGTTAGAGATATTAAATACATCGTTACGAAACGTACATCAAAATCCCCCCGCGATTCCCGGAGCGAAATTGCCACGCTTTTTTTATAAATAAAGATAATGGTAGTTTGTTTCCTCTTTTTCTGTAGTTAATAATTAAAACACGATAAATAAAATCTATGGTTGGGCAATGCTCAATGAAGCGGAGAGTAGGCGGGGTTAAGGGCGCCCGGGACTCAAGACGGATTAACCCACAAATCCCTGAAATGTTAGTCGGAACTTCTTTTGATTGACCACCCACACAAAAGAAAATAATGTAGTAGCAATGGCGTAAACTAATTAATTGTACAGACAGTCAACTAAAACGCAAGATATTCAAAACAATCACAATATGTTAACTGATTAATTAACACATTAATAAAAAGAAATTCAAATTACTGGCAAAGGATCAAAATAGTAGAAGAAAAAAGCCATGTGATTTTGGCTGGGTACAAATATTTTTTTAATAGCGGGTTCAATGTCAGCAATAAACAGTTTGTCTCATGTTGCTATAAAATGGTGAGCATTTTCATAAATATACTAAGTGACATATAAATCCGAACACCCAGTTTAAATGGTTTTATTTTAATAAAATTTTGTATAAGTACTTAATGAAGCATAATAAGTAAATGATAAAAATGATTGCACTGCTTTAAAGCCCTTTGACCTTTGATAATGTGTGGATGCACCCTAATGTGCTACGCATTCTCCAACGCGCCTAGGCATGCGTCTGATCAGGTGGTCAATGTCCTCCTGTGGTATCTCATTCCAGGCAACCACCAACTCCTCTCGAAGTGCTTCTAGAGTCTGAGGAGGACGTTGCAAATTGAGCAATCTCCTACACATCATATCCCACACGTGCTCAATTGGGGATAAGTCGGGAGATCTTTGTGGCCATGGTAACAATGTGACATCATTATGTTGAAAGAAGTCTATTGTGACTCTTGCAACATGTGGTCGGGCATTATCTTGTTGGAAAGTTGGATCTGCCAGGGTGTCAAGATAGGGTAAAAGACGGGGTTCTAGAACTTCGTGGATATAACGCTGCGCGTTCATGTTACCTCCGACGAAGATTAAAGGTGACCTGGAACCATAAGCTACAGCACCCCAAACCATAACTCCAACAGTGTGATGAACATGTCTTTCAACAAACAACTGTGGATTCCTCCTTTCACCACGTCGCCTTCTAACCCTGGCACGACCATCGTGCATGCCTAAACAAAATCGAGACTCGTCACTAAAGACAATACCGTTCCATTCCTGATCCCAGAGTGACCGTTGTCTGCACCACTCAAGGCGATTACGTCGGCGTTCTCGAGTTAAAGGGAGGACTCAGTGTGGCCGGTATGAAAACAAGCCAAAACTTCTCATTCGTCGGTAAACACTTCGCATGCCAATAGGTCTTCCGTGTTCTGCAAACCATTCATTTGCAATGGACCTGGTAGTGGAGAAACGGTCCCTTAAGGCCAATAATCTTGGGCGGCGATCTTCACGGTCTGTTGTTCTACGGCGGCGTCTAGTGCCCCTTGCTCTTTACGTACGGCCTTCTCGAAGCCATGCCTGAAAACACCTAACCACAGTTTCTACGCTTCTTTGCACTCTAACTGCAATTGCCCAAAAAGAAAGTCCAGCTTCCCGAAGTCCCACTATACGGCCCCTATCGAACTCACTAAGTTGACGAAATCGTACAGGTCTCCGTGCTCTAGGCATCGTACCAGATCGTAAAGGATGTCAAGAGCCAAAATCCGCCAACGCTGATTCTTTACTGCGGCTGAAATATTCATTTTTAGAGCGTTAATGAATTAAAAAAAGCAGTATAAAAACCGGAATGTCCAACTGATAAGGCTGAAAATTTTACAGTTATTTACAGTAAGATAAATACATTCGCCAACTTTTATTAAAATAAAACCATTTAAACTGGGTGTTCGGATTTATATGTCACTTAGTATACATCGCTTACAAAGATTGTAAATTGTGCAGTTGTATGAAGGGCTTTCCATTAAGGACTTGACAACTTTCTTTTTAAATAAAACGCAAACCATTTGAGATATCTTGTAAATTTTATTATTGGATTGAAGTATGCTCAAAACATTTATGTATCGAATTCGACCTCGTTCATATGTCCACCACGTTCAATATAGGCTCTGTTAGAGGATAACGACGTCGACTTGTTCGCTTAGACCAATGATTTAATGTAGCCCCACAAAAAAGTCTAGAGGTGTCAAATCACACGATCTAGGCGGCCAGTCGACAGGACCATTTCTCGATATAACACGTTCACCGAATTTTGATTTCAATATGTCGATTGTTTCACCTGCAGTGTGGCTAGTGGCACCGTCTTTTTGAAACTACATATGATTAATGTCTAGCCTATCCAATTGACCAAAAAAATAACGTTGCAACATGTCTCTGTAGTGATATCCGTTGACTGTAACGTGACTGTCATTTTCATCAACGAAAAAAAAACCGGATCAATAATACCACACCATACAGCTATTTTTTGGGGATGAAGTGGTGTTTCTTGAAGTACATAAGGGTTTTCACCTGATCAATAACACATATTCTGTTTGTTGACAAAGCCGTTTAGCCAAAAATGCGCCTCGTCACTGAAGATGATTTTGCGATGAAATCGGTCATTTTCTTGCAACATGTTTTTTGAGAGAGTAGTTCTATATTACAACTTCTACAAAGTGCATACTGGTCGCTCTTTCAAAGTACATACTTTGCAACCATTCTGGAAACTCCTTTTTCGATTCTTGCTTATAGGATTGTGAATATTTTTCTATTTTACCCCTGAACTCATAAACTCACCTCTCATTTTAGTTAATTATTTATTTTGAAAACCGGCAGGTTTCGGTTTATTTATTGCCGGTAGCTTTACGACATATATTTGAGTATTTCTTAATCGCTGTAAATATAGTGTGGATGTTTGTTCAGTTCCTGAACAACCAAAAAATATTTTACTATGGATGTATGGATACACTGGACAACAAATTTTAGTTTTTTAATTGTATCTTGTGGGAAAAGTGCACTTCTTTGTTAATTTTGGGGCGCTGAATCCAAAAATGACAATGAAATAAAAAAATTAGTTGCGGTTTAGAAAAATAACTTTTTATTTTTAAGGATATATTAAAAAAGTAAAAAGATTCATATACTTATAAGAATCACTATACATGTTATGCGCTGTCTTTTTGCTGTTCTTTTATGGATCGTTTCTGGAGCATCTCTACCAAGAGTCCAACAGTAGTCTGCAAGCATGGAAGGATTCCACTTTCCCTGGTACCTTTTTTCCATTGTTGAAATATCCTGATGAAAACGTTCGCCGTGCTCATCACTTACGGCTCCGCAATTGTCAGGAAAAAAGTCCAGGTGTGAGTGTAGGAAATGTATCTTAAGAGACATATTACAGCCCATCTTTTGATACGATGACAGCATATTTTTGACAAGGGTTTTATAGTTGTAAGCTTTTCTATTTCCCAAGAAATTAGTGACCACCAGACGGAAATCATTCCAAGCAGTTTTTTCAATACCTGTTAAAGTGTTTTCAAACTGTGTATCTTTCAAAATATTTCGAATCTGTGGCCCAACAAAAATACCTTCTTTAACCTTTGCCTCACTCAGTCTTGGAAATTTCTGACGCAGGTATTGAAAAGCTGACCCATCTCTATCTAATGCCTTGACAAAGTTTTTCATTAGGCCCAACTTGATATGCAGTGGTGGTAATAAATTTTTTTTCGAATCTACTAATGGCATATGCTGTAGACCTGGCTCTAGGAATTGACGAACAGGCCAGTTTTGTCTGGTGTAATGAAGTGGCTTTGCCCGACTGTCCCATTCACACAAAAAACAGCAAAACTTTGTGTAGCCTAGCTGCAGCCCAAGTAAAAGTGCAACAACTTTCAAATCGCCACAAATATGCCATTGGTGCTCATCGTATTTTATGCATGTCAATAGGTACTTCATATTGTCATATGGTTCATTCATGTGAACTGCATACCCTACAGGAAGAGATGGTAAAATATTTCCAATATGCAATAACACTGCCTTTAAACTCAATGTTGAACTGTCTATAAACAATCTCCATTCTTCTGGGTTATAGTTTATATTTAAAGCCGCCAGTAAGCCGTTAATGTTACTGCAGAAAACCAAGTTATTCTCCATATTGAAAAATGGTCTTTGTGGCGTTTACGAAAAGCACATACCGAAACATCGTCTTCTAACAAGTTCCACTGCTGCAGTCTTGATCCAAGTAACTCTGCCTTACATTTTGGAAGTTCTAAATCTCTTACAAGATCATTTAATTCTGACTGTGTTATTTTGTGCGGTTGGTGGCATGACGTGCTCGGTATAAAATCAGGATCTCTTGACGTTGATGGCATATCTTCTTCCTGACGAATCACTCGATCGCCATGATCTCATTCGTTTTCTGATTCGCAAGTGTAGGATTCTGGGGGTTTCGGAATAGGATTTTCGTCACTGTGAGGCACAGGTCTCATCGCAGATGGTATGTTTGGGTAGTTAATAACCGATTTTTTTTTCTTGGACATACCTGTGGCTTGCCCAACACAAGGTACCATGCAAAAGTAACAATCATTAATATGATTTGTAGGCTCTCTCCAAACCATTGGGACAGCAAAGCGCATAGATCGTTTTTTGCCATTTAACCAGCTCCTCAGACTTGAAGCACATGTATTACAGCAGATGTGGGGTGCCCACTGTTTGTCTTGATCACCTAGTTTACAACCGAA